GTCATACCTGGATGTACTGGGTATAGTTATTTATGGTCGTCATACCTGGATGTACTGGGTATAGTTATTTATGGTCGTCATACCTGGATGTACTGGTTATAGTTATTTATAGTCGTCATACCTGGATGTACTGGGTATAGTTATTTATGGTCGTCATACCTGGATGTACTGGGTATAGTTATTTATGATCGTCATACCTGGATGTACTGGGTATAGTTATTTATGGTCGTCATACCTGGATGTATTGGGTATAGTTATTTATAGCCGTCATACCTGGATGTACTGGTTATAGTTATTTATAGTCGTCATACCTGGATGTACTGGTCGTGGTTATTTATGGTCGTCATACCTGGATGTACTGGGTATAGTTATTTATGGTCGTCATACCTGGATGTACTGGTTGTAGTTATTTATGGTCGTCATACCTGGATGTACTGGGTATAGTTATTTATAGCCGTCATACCTGGATGTACTGGGTATAGCTATTTATGGTCGTCATACCTGGATGTACTGGGTATAGTTATTTATACCCGTCATACCTGGATGTACTGGTTATAGTTATTTATAGTCATCATACCTGGATGTACTGGTCGTGGTTATTTATAGTCGTCATACCTGGATGTACTGGTTGTGGTTATTTATGGTCGTCATACCTTGATGTACTGGGTATAGTTATTTATGGTCGTCATACCTGGATGTACTGGTTGTAGTTATTTATAGCCGTCATACCTGGATGTACTGGGTATAGTTATTTATGGTCGTCATACCTGGATGTACTGGGTATAGTTATTTATGGCCGTCATACCTGGATGTATTGGGTATAGCTATTTATAGCCGTCATACCTGGATGTACTGGGTATAGTTATTTATAGCCACCATACCTGGATGTACTGGGTATAGTTATTTATGGTCGTCATACCTGGATGTACTGGGTATAGTTATTTATAGCCGTCATACCTGGATGTATTGGGTATAGTTATTTATAGCTGTCATACCTGGATGTACTGGGTATAGTTATTTATGGTCGTCATACCTGGATATAATTATTTATGACCGTCATACCTGGATGTACTGGGCATAGTTATTTATAGTCGTCATACCTGGATGTACTGGTTGTAGTTATTTATGGTCGACATACCTGGATGTACTGGGTATAGTTATTTATGGTCGTCAAACCTGGATGTACTGGGTATAGTTATTTATGGTCGTCATACCTGGATGTACTGGGTATAGTTATTTATAGCCATCATACCTGGATGTACTGGGTATAGTTATTTATAGCCGTCATACCTGGATGTACTGGTTATAGTTATTTATGGTCGTCATACCTGGATGTACTGGTTGTAGTTATTTATGGTCGTCATACCTGGATGTATTGGGTATAGTTATTTATAGCCGTCATACCTGGATGTACTGGGTATAGTTATTTATGGTCGTCATACCTGGATGTATTGGGTATAGTTATTTATAGCCGTCATACCTGGATGTACTGGTTATAGTTATTTATAGTCGTCATACCTGGATGTACTGGTTATAGTTATTTATGGTCATCATACCTGGATGTACTGGGTATAGTTATTTATGGTCGTCATACCTGGATGTACTGGTTGTAGTTATTTATAGTCGTCATACCTGGATGTACTGGGTATACAGTGGACCTTCAGATATCCGGACGCCAGATATCCGGATGCTTCAGTATCTGGACGCTTTTTCATCGGAACAGAATTTTAAAATGCTATTATGTCTTTTTTAACTGGTGATTCAGGTATCCGGACGCTTCACATATCCGGACAAATTGACTGGGAACCAAAGCGTCCGGATAAATGAGGCTCCACTGTAGTTATTTATGGTCGTCATACCTGGATGTACTGGGTATAGTTATTTATGGCCGTCATACCTGGATGTACTTGGTATAGTTATTTATGGTCGTCAAACCTGGATGTATTGGGTATAGTTATTTATAGCCGTCATACCTGGATGTACTGGGTATAGTAATTTATAGCCGTCATACCTGGATGTATTGGGTATAGTTATTTATAGTCGTCATACCTGGATGTACTGGTCGTGGTTATTTATGGTCGTCATACCTGGATGTACTGGGTATAGTTATTTATGGTCGTCATACCTGGATTTACTGGGTATAGTTATTTATGGCCGTCATACCTGGATGTACTGGGTATAGTTATTTATGGCCGTCATACCTGGATGTACTGGGTATAGTTATTTATAGTCGTCATACCTGGATGTACTGGTTGTAGTTATTTATGGTCGTCATACCTGGATGTACTGGGTATAGTTATTTATGGTCGTCATACCTGGATGTACTGGTTGTAGTTATTTATGGTCGTCATACCTGGATGTACTGGGTATAGTTATTTATGGTCGTCATACCTGGATGTACTGGGTATAGTTATTTAAAGCCGTCATACCTGGATGTACTGGTTGTAGTTATTTATGGTCGTCATACCTGGATGTACTGGTTGTAGTTATTTATAGTCGTCATACCTGGATGTACTGGTTGTAGTTATTTATGGTCGTCATACCTGGATGTACTGGGTATAGTTATTTATGGCCGTCATACCTGGATGTACTGGGTATAGTTATTTATGGTCGTCATACCTGGATGTACTGGTTGTAGTTATTTATAGCCATCATACCTGGATGTACTGGTTGTAGTTATTTATGGCCGTCATACCTAGATGTACTGGGTATAGTTATTTATGGTCGTCATACCTGGATGTACTGGGTATAGTTATTTATAGTGGTCATACCTGGATGTACTGGGTATAGTTATTTATGGTCGTCATACCTGGATGTACTGGGTATAGTTATTTATGGCCGTCATACCTGGATGTACTGGGTATAGTTATTTATGGTCGTCATACCTGGATGTACTGGTTGTAGTTATTTATAGCCGTCATACCTGGATGTACTGGTTGTGGTTATTTATGGTCGTCATACCTGGATGTACTGGGTATAGTTATTTGTGGTCGTCATACCTGGATGTACTGGTTGTAGTTATTTATAGTCGTCATACCTGGATGTACTGGTTGTGGTTATTTATGGTCGTCATACCTGGATGTACTGGGTATAGTTATTTATGGCCGTCATACCTGGATGTACTGGGTATAGTTATTTATGGTCGTCATACCTGGATGTACTGGTTGTAGTTATTTATAGCCGTCATACATGGATGTACTGGGTATAGTTATTTATAGCCGCCATACCTGGATGTATTGGGTATAGTTATTTATAGTGGTCATACCTGGATGTACTGGGTATAGTTATTTATGGTCGTCATACCTGGATGTACTGGGTATAGTTATTTATGGTCGTCATACCTGGATGTACTGGTTGTAGTTATTTATAGTCGTCATACCTGGATGTACTGGGTATAGTTATTTATGGTCGTCATACCTGGATGTACTGGGTATAGTTATTTATGGTCGTCATACCTGGATGTACTGGGTATAGTTATTTATGGTCGTAATACCTGGATGTATTGGGTATAGTTATTTATAGCCGTCATACCTGGATGTACTGGTTATAGTTATTTATAGTCGTCATACCTGGATGTACTGGTCGTGGTTAGTTATGGTCGTCATACCTGGATGTACTGGGTATAGTTATTTATGGTCGTCATACCTGGATGTACTGGTTGTAGTTATTTATGGTCGTCATACCTGGATGTACTGGGTATAGTTATTTATAGCCGTCATACCTGGATGTACTGGGTATAGTTATTTATGGTCGTCATACCTGGATGTACTGGGTATAGTTATTTATAGCCATCATACCTGGATGTACTGGTTATAGTTATTTATAGTCATCATACCTGGATGTACTGGTCGTGGTTATTTATAGTCGTCATACCTGGATGTACTGGTTGTGGTTATTTATGGTCGTCATACCTTGATGTACTGGGTATAGTTATTTATGGTCGTCATACCTGGATGTACTGGTTGTAGTTATTTATTCATACCTGGATGTACTGGGTATAGTTATTTATAGTCGTCATACCTGGATGTACTGGGTATAGTTATTTATGGCCGTCATACCTGAATGTACTGGGTATAGTTATTTATAGCCGTCATACCTGAATGTACTGGGTATAGTTATTTATAGCCGTCATACCTGGATGTACTGGGTATAGTTATTTATGGTCGTCATACCTGGATGTACTGGGTATAGTTATTTATAGCGTCATACCTGGATGTATTGGGTATAGTTATTTATAGCCGTCATACCTGGATGTACTGGGTATAGTTATTTATGGTCGTCATACCTGGATGTATTGGGTATAGTTATTTATGGTCGTCATACCTGGATGTACTGGGTATAGTTATTTATTGTCGTCATACCTGGATGTACTGGTTGTAGTAGCCGTCATACCTGGATGTACTGGGTATAGTTATTTATAGTCGTCATACCTGGATGTACTGGTTGTAGTTATTTATGGTCGTCATACCTGGATGTACTGGGTATAGTTATTTATGGTCGTCATACCTGGATGTACTGGTTGTGGTTATTTATGGTCGTCATACCTGGATGTACTGGGTATAGTTATTTATAGTCGTCATACCTGGATGTACTGGTTGTAGTTATTTATGGTCGTCATGCCTGGATGTACTGGGTATAGTTATTTATGGTCGTCATACCTGGATGTACTGGGTATAGTTATTTATAGCCGTCATACCTGGATGTACTGGTTGTAGTTATTTATGGTCGTCATACCTGGATGTACTGGGTATAGTTATTTATAGCCGTCATACCTGGATGTACTGGTTGTAGTTATTTATGGTCGTCATACCTGGATGTACTGGGTATAGTTATTTATAGTCGTCATACCTGGATGTACTGGGTATAGTTATTTATAGCCGTCATACCTGGATGTACTGGTTGTAGTTATTTATGGTCGTCATACCTGGATGTACTGGTTGTAGTTATTTATGGTCGTCATACCTGGATGTACTGGGTATAGTTATTTATGGTCGTCATACCTGGATGTACTGGTTGTGGGTATTTGCGGCCGCCGCCCAGCCCCCTATTTCCGTTATCCCGTTGATTATCTCCTCCTTGGTGTCCAGATGTCCCCTCTCAGCCCCATACATGTGTTTGCTGTCCTTTTTCCCATACTCACTGGAGGCAGTTAAGTTACTGTTTTTGGCAATGGGATTTTTACATAATTCTAGATAAAATAACTGTAATTAAATTTTTTATTTGCAGACTAGAACAATTCTGTATCTCGAGGAGGGTGATGTTAATTAGTCTATATACCGGAATCGGTAAAATTAATTAAATTTAAAAAAAGAACAAAACCAATTCTTTAAAAAAGTAAAATAAATTGGGTTTTACTTGTCCCTTTTTGTTATTAGTTACGAAAATGCAGTTTATTTTAAATTATTTTAACAAGTTTGTTAACCACGGTAAGAAAACTGTTGATTTTTTATTGAGCGAGAGAGGGGGATAAAGATGCTGCTTTATTATCACTTACCTGTGCTTTTAACTAATGTAACTGAAAAAGAAAAGAAAACCTCAAAGATTTACGCTGTGATACTCTTAAAAAAAAATACCCCAAATTTATAATTTATTACCTATAAAATAAAAAAAAAGTATAATAGATCATACCTCTAAACAAGCAAATTAAAAGAATTCGAAAACCAGTTCCGTAAAACTCTGTCATTTTAAAAGTATGGATTGTCACATAATCTTCCTCAGGACCGAAGTGTGTGTTTGCGTGAGGGGGGTAACTGATTCTTGTGTATCCGGGGGAGGAGGTCCCTTAATCACCTTGACAATAATGTCTGAATACACAATTATCTCGACGTATGGAGGGGGTTGTTTGTTTAGCAACAGATAACCAATTTCTTCGACTTTGAATAACTGTTAAACAATTACTGAGTATTTTCTTCTTCATTTGTATGTAGACACATTTCACCAAATTTCTTTTCGTTTTAAGGATGCTATATTTAGTATACCGTCTGTTTATAAGTCTGTTTATAAAGTGAATGGAAATTCACTTAATTTTCTCTCATTATTAGAAGAGAATGGTGAGCTAGATTGATAGTTTGTGTTACGAAAATAAAAAATAATAATACAATGTAATAATAAAATTTTCTTAACATTGGTGGCATGTTAATTTGCTTATAAATTCTCGTACTTGATATACTGTGTAGCTTCAAATAAAATTATTGTCCCCCGCTTTCGCGAAAGCGACGGGACATTAAATCTCATTCGTCTGTCCCTCTGTCCGTCAGTCTGTCAATCTGTCAGTCTGTCCGTCTGTCCGTCCGTCACAAAAACTTTAACCTTGCCCATAACTTTTGATTTAGTGGAGCTATGACTTTCATATTTCATATATGTATTTCTTGTGATAAGACCTTTCTTTGGGTACCACCAAATTTGACCTTTTGACCTTGACCTTGGAGTTTGACCCACTTTTACACAAAAAATTCATACTTTTACTTTGGCCGTAACTTTTAAATCGTAGACACTAGAACTTTCTTATTTCACATATATATTCTTTGTGACAAGACCTTTCATTGGATACCAACAACTTTGACCTTTTGACCTGACCTTGGAGATTTCCGAACTTATGAAAAAAACTTTAACATTGACCATAACATATGAACGGTACGAACTAGAGCTTTCATACTTCATATATGTAATCCTTGTGAGAAGGCCTTTCATTGGATACAAAGAACTTTGACCCTTTCACCTTGACCTTGGAGTTTGACCTACTTTTAAAAAACTATGACCTTTGCCACAACTTTTGAACAGTACATACTTGGACTTTCATATTTCACATATGTATTCTTTGTGGCAAGACCTTTCAATTGATATCAACAACCTTGACCTTTTGAAGTTGACCTTGGAGAATTTTCGTACTTATGAAAAAACTTTAATCTTTACCATAACTTTGGAATGGCAAGGGCTAGGGCTTTCATACTTCACATATGTAATCCTTGTGAGGAGACTGTTCATCAGTTACCAAACACTTTAACCCTTTGACCTTGACCTTGGAGTGCAGTGATGATTTCTAAATAAATGATATATGATAGGGTGTTCATAATACACACAATATATCATTACAAATGACATCTCACCCACAAAGACACCGAAAGCGGGGGACCACAATTCCTTGAATTTGCTTGTTCCGACAGTTATTTATTTTAAAAGAATTTTTTTTTCATTTATGGATAGATATCATAAAGCGGAAATTATAAGCGGGTGTTTATTTTGGCTTTTTAAGTTATTTACACGATATAAAGAACATAGGATAGGATGGGGTGGGGTAGAAGGCTCCTTTAATTTGACTCATTTTCAATCGAAGAACGATTTACATGCTAGGCATAGTACTTTTATTGTCATTTCTATCATATACTTCGTACTTGAAAATATATTCTCGTCTAGACTGAGTGGAATTCATAGTAAATTAAATATTATCTGGAGAATATTCCTGCTCGAAAGAAAGTTTTACAAAAATAATTCTGTACGATATTGAATTTACAAAATCAAAGAGTAAAACAAAAGTGACAAGAATTTTAATGTCTCTATAAAAATCCGGAAAAACTCCATTAGCTAAGTATAGCAAACATTGATGGGATTTTTTAAGGACATTTTTATCACTGCTTCTTTCCTAATTTCGTCACAAACGACAAGGCAAATAAGATCGTTCAAACATTCATCAGTCAGTCACTGTATGTAATCACAAATAATCCCCCAGTGCAATAACTTGATCAAACAACAGTCAATTTGTACACCAACACCTAGTTTAGGCAGAGTTAATGCGTAGAAATGCAGAAATGTGTGGAAATTTAAGGTGAAAAATTCGAAAATGAATTTGTTTGCACTTTTGCGTCGAGACAAAAAGTCATTTTCCAGTGCAAGTTAAAATCAGAAATTAAAACATTATTTAGAAGAGTTAACAAAACGCATCATTTCATGATGACAGCTAGGACAGGTTTTGGGTACTAGTCGTTCAAATAACGCTTTCAAAACGCACTTGTATATATAAAAGGGTAAAATGTCATTGGCACACTCCCTTTCTTTTTTATGAGAAGCAGCATACTGTCATCTGCGACTTAATTGACTGTAGAATTTGATGCAATAGCACCTCCCTCTTTTTAAAATAGAACAAGATTTTATGGAATCATTTGACGAAGGTGAGAGTTTCTCAAATACAAGTCAACCACAAAGTCAAGGTCAAGCGAAAAAAAATCCAAAGAAAGTTTTTTGAATCACATAGATTACACCCATGAAATATCCCCCATATGACCATAAAATGGCCCTATCCGGACACCACACCCCCATCTCTTACCGTCAATTAATATGGCCAATGTTAAGGCTTTTCGAAAGTAGATAAAAGTCGAAGGTCAAGGCCAAAAGTAGGCAAGGGGTCTGGGGGCCGCCTTGAGGCCCCCAGTGGGTCCAGGGCAGAGCCCTGGTGGGGGCCCAGGGGGCGAAGCCCCCGGAAGCTCCTGGGTTCTAGAGATTTTGTAGGGTAAAAATGAGGTTTACCAAGTAGAAATATTTACATTTTCTAGACGAAACTGTGATTTACGTTAACTTTGACAATTTTAGCGGGGGGCGCCCCCCTTAAATCCGCCACTGAAAACCTCTGTGTGCCACACTTAAACCTGGATTGCAGCATTGCAGCCAAGGGGAAATTTTTTTAGAAGTACATTGTAGATAGATTTCCAAGGTCAAGGCCATGAAGCAATCTGATTAAAATCAGATCCTTTGATCCGCTCATATAGATCGCTACACAAGGTGTAGCGATCTATGTGAGCGGATCAAAAGATCTGATTTTAATCAGATTGGAAGTGTAGCGACCTATATGAGCGGATCAAAGGATCTGATTTTAATCAGATTGGATCATGAAGCAAAAAAATGTTAGTATCCGCAGAAAAGTGCCTGTTACCGAAAGGAATACACTTGTGAATTATGAAAACTTTCACAACAACCGTTTATAAGTTATATATAAAGGTCTTAATTTTTTTTAAGAAAGTAGACCAAACCGTAAGGTACTTAGTAAAGAGCTCAAGATCAAACAATAATAATATCCAAAGAAAGTAGTTGTTACATAAAAGATACATATATGATATATGAAAACCCTAGATCCAACCGTTCAGAGGTAAATGTTAATAAAGTGTAAGGAAAAAATACTAAATTCGTAGATCAGTTAAGGTAACGAAGTCAAAAATGTTGATACAAAAGGGAAAATTTTCTTGATTCTTGTCAAAAAAGCATACACAAAGCGTACAAAAGTTATATAGGCAAGATTGAAGTTTTCACAAACATACTTGTACACTGTACAGCCAAATTTTTACCGACAAATAGACGATCAGATTAATAAACGGACAAACAGACGGTCAGTTAAAAAAAAAATACGTCTCCGAATCTTCAGGAGCATGAAGAAAAAAATATTCTTTTTATGCCCCCGTAAACGAAGTTTCGGGGGTATATAGTTTTTGTCATGTCCGTCTGTCTGTCTGTCTGTCTGTCTCTCTGTCTGTCTGTTTGTCCGCAAAAACTTTAACCTTGCCCATAACTTTTGATTTAGTGGAGCTATGACTTTCGTATTTCACAGTTATATTCCTTGTGACAAGACCTTTCTTTGGGTACCACCAAATTTGACCTTTTGACCTTGACCTTGGAGTTTGACCCATTTTTACATGAAAAATTTTAACTTTTACTTTGGCCATATCTTTTGAACAGTAGCTACCAGGACATTTATACTTCAGATATGTAATCTTTGTTGAAAGACCTTTCATTGGATACCAACAATCTTGACCCTTTGACATTGACCTTGTAGATTTCCGTACTTGTAAAAAAACTTAAACCTTGGCCATAACTTTTGAACAGTAAAGGATAGGGCTTTCATACTTCATATATGTAATCCTTGTGAGAAGACCCTTCATTGGATACCAAGAACTTTGTCCCTTTGACCTTGACCTTTGAGATTGACCAACTTTAAAAAAGCAAGCCTAGACCAATACTTTTTAAAGGGTTAAGGCTAGTGCTGTCATACTTTACGTATTTAATCCTTGTGACAATACCTTTCATTTGATAACAAGAACTTTGACCCTTTGACCTTGGAGTTTGACCTACTTTAAATTTAACCTTGGCCATAACTTCTGAATGGTTAGGGCTAGGGCTTTCATAATCTATATAAGTATTCTATGTGGCAAGACCTTTCATTTGATACCAATTACATTGACCTATTGACCTTGACCTTGGAGATTTTTGTACTTATTGAAAAAACATTTAACATTGGCTTACTTTCAAATTTCACAATTGTTTTCCAGTGAGAATACTTTACTTTTGGTACCAATTAATTAAATTTGCATTTAAGAAAAGTTTAATCTTTGCTACTGCAATACAGGGGCATCAGTGTTTCACAAACACATCTTGTTTCTATTAATGTGTTGTTGCTAAATTTTGTTGAGAAAGAGTTTCAGAATACATTAGCTGTGAATGGAATATAGAAACAAAAGAGGTGATAGCAGGTGCTTGTAGGATTAAACATCTCATGTCGACCAGTCAGTTCCACGTGAGTACTTTGCATTAGTCAGGTAATATGAGTAATCCGCCAAAATGATGCTCAAAGGAATAGTTATTGACTAGAAAGCTGCAGTCGTATTACCACATAAGTATACGTTTGTAACACAGTGTGTTTAC